CCGTCCCCATATTGTGCAGAAAGCCGCCGCTTGTTTAACTTATCCATTCTCTTCGGAGACTCTCGAGTGAACACGACTTCTAAAGCTGGCGTTTCGGACATAGACGCCGGGGCGGTCGTCGTACACTCGTAAAGCACCAGAAGGTATTAGGTGCCATTCACTTGACGTCACTCGCTAGGTTCGCTGGCATCGCCCACCACGGTCGCCATCTCCGAGGTCTCTTTCTATCGCGGGTGTCGTCTGGCCGGACCTTTTGAGCGTGGTTTAGCAGCATTTTACAACTTTAAAGGGTCTTTTTGACCGAAACTAGGGGTTATTTTTATACTTTGGTGCTTTTGAAGCGCCGTAGGAGTATTTTTGTGTGTTTTTGTTCGCTTTTGTCGCTATCGGACTCGCTCACCGCGGCCGCGTTGCTCCCTCGGCTCCATGAAGCGCTCCGTGTCGCGCGCCGTGCCCACGGCGGTAGCTCTTTTGCAAGAACTGTAATTTTTCCACTTTGGTGCTTTTGTAGCACGGTGTGATTACTCTTTGTTTTGTTTTGCTAGTTTCTTTATTGTTTTTCTTTAGCAGATTTTTGCACTACGGCCGTGTAACCGTGTTGCTCCATCGCCTCTTTGCCGTACGTCGTGCCTTCGGTGTTCGTTCCTGTGCAGAAACATACCGTGCGGCTCACAGAGTGCGCAGCTTATGAAAAATGCGGCGCATTTTTCATTAGCCCAAGCGATTTAAAAACTACATGTAAGTGATTTGGCGAGCGGCGAGGTACAAGCGACGGCGACCCGCTTTGCTGCCGCTCGGTTACTCGCGCGACGAGGCAAACCGCATGAAAGCGACGGCAGCACACGACCAAGGCGATGAGCGCTAAGTTTTCTAGAAATCCCAAAACCGAGCTACGCGACGAGCGACAGTGAAGGGTGAACCGCATGTAAACGATTTAGCGAGCGACGGCGACAGCGACGGGAGTCGGCGACGAGCGACGGAGATTTCTCACGGTCGGTCGTCACATCGCTCGGTTTTTGCATTTCTAGAAAACGTCGCTCATCGCCTTGATCGCTTGCTCCCGTCGCTTTCATGCAGTTTGCCTCGTCGCGCGAGTGACCGAGCGACAGCGAAGCGGGTCGTCGTCGCTTGTCTCGTCGTTTTCGCTCGTCTCGCCCCGTCACTCGCTAAATTGCTTACATGCGGTTCAGCCTTTGCACACGGTACTCGGCGGCAACAAGGAAACTAAAACGGCCCGCCCCCGAGATAAACCTTTTTCTCTCTTTTGTTCAGCGAAGCTTCTTCAACTATAAGAAATTAGCACACGCTAACAACGGAAGACTGCGTACCCAAGCCAGTCAAACCGGGACCTCGAAGATGGCGGATCGACGGTGGCGCTCCCTGGCAAAATCGAACCTGCAGGCTCAGTGAATACCACCTATTGTCTCCTTTACCCCTTTATTCTTCCGAAGCTGTTTGACCTGCTATGTTTAGGCCTGCTTCCAAGTATATTCCATGAGGTAATTATGTGACTATCTCTGCCCTCATTCGTTTCGGAGTGAAATATAAACCAAAACGTTCACTGACACGTGCCGATGACAATTTTGACAAACAAATTTTATTGCAAATAAATTACGCACATCAAAATGCTGAAATGGCGAATGACGCAAAATAAGAAACACCCTTCGGGTTTAAATTTTTCTAATATCTCAGTTTACCTTTCTTCTCACTATAATGTAACTAAAATATTATTTTTTGGGTTTGTGATTCCTTGTGTCCAATTTTCGTACTGTAACGAGAAAGTAACGAAGTTACTTTTTTTGCAGTAACTGTAACTGTAACACGTTACTTTTTTCAAACCGGTAACTGTAACTGTAACAGAGATCCCTTTTCCCTATAGGTAACTGTAACTGGAACACTGTTACTTTTTACTGGTAACGTGCCCATGACTGGTTATGAGGGTTACCGTCGCGAGGATTACCAGTGTTACCCTCATGAGGGTCACGAGGATTACCCTCACGAGGGTCACGAGGGTAACGTCATGACATTACCCTCCTGACGTCACGTGTGACGTCATTATAGAAAACACGTGATGTATGACGTCACACACATATGGTGTGGCCAATATTCCCGCTAATTTTAGCGGGGAATGTTTTTTTCCGCTAAATTTACCCTTGCGGCGTCACGCGTGGCGACACGTGCGACCTCGCACGTGACGTCACGTGTGACGTCACGAGGGTAACATTTGTTGGCTAAATTTAGCGGAAAATTTTCCCTCTAAATTTAGCGGGGAAGGAAGAGGGGCATACCCTCCCCTCCGTATCCTCTCCTCCTCAAGAGCTGCGCTCTAATTCGGCTCCACAGCAAATTGTAAACGTCTTTAATTTTTTACCCATACTTTGACAATTTTAGCCAATATCGTTACTTAGTATTACTGCATATGAGACCCCTACTTCTGAATTTATATCTGAAATAAAGCAAAACGTGATAAAACCACATTTTTGAATATTATCTCCCTAGTGCAGAATAATTAAAAAATTTTATTTGGGTAGTTCTTACAAAACATTGCAATGAGTAACGCGGAATTCAACGATTTGACTGTTAACATCCGAATTCACATAGATATAAAGCAGGACTGTTGTTTACCAGCCAGTCTATGTTTTATATCTGGAGCCTAGGAAAAAGTAATTAGGCCACGAGATACGTCGCCTTCTGGCAAAATTGCTCGATATAGAAGCAGCGTTGGGTAAAGTGCATCTAAACGTACTTGAAGTAAAGTACAAAGTAAATGAGAGGTGATGTACTTCAAGTAAAGTAATAAGTACACCGGGTGCAGTGTACCTGAAGTAAAGTACTATAAATAGACTGTACTTTCAAAGTAAAGTACAAGTACATTTCAACACAGTCTTACATGATGCCCTTCCATTCCCCTGTAGAGTGATTTTTAACTGGTATGCATTGCCCCAGGGGTAATTGGAGGTGCATCATTCATTTTCGGGAATGGCGATGAATATTGGATAAAGTGGCCACAGAGAAGTTATTTTCAAAAATGGCGCCAAATTGAGAGGTCCTGCTTCTGAATTTGGCACCGCTTGTACTGGCTTGTGGCAACGGAGAATCAAAAAAACTTTCAAGTCGAAGGAAAATACGAGAGGGAGAGAGAGAGAGAGAGGGAAAGAGAGAGCGAGAGATTGACTTCAAACCGCAAACCGCTTTCCCATTGCTTTGCGAACCGGAGTTCGCAAAGCAACGAAAAAGCCCCTTTCTCTCCCCCCCCCCCCTCCCCCCCCCCCCCCCCCCCCCACACACACACACCCCTTCAAGCACAAACGGAGCGATGCGTCGTCTGCTCGCGTTTCTGGTGAGACCGAGCTCCTAGTATTTCTTCAGAGTTGACAAAGCATCATTTCCGATAGCAATTTAACAGGGACAAATTTAGGGAATGCGCTTTGAAGTCAGGAGTTGTACTCTCGTCAGAAAGTATTAGAAAATATACTTTAAGTACAAGTACGTACATGCCAGAGAATGTACTTAAACTAAAGTACAAGTTTTCTAAACCTACTTGAAGTAGTACTTTAAGTACCTTGTACTTAAAGTAGTTCCCAACACTGGTTAGAAGAGACAGTTTATATGAACCTTGTGCCTTTGACCGGGCCCTAGGGGAAACCAGTTGATTTCGGTGAATTATGTTAACGATTTCAATGGAAATCGCAATTTACTGCTGCTATACAGGCAACCGCAGTCTGTGTTCTCACGAGTTTTGTGCTAGCACGAATTATGAACTGCGAATTGTATGTTTCTCGTCTTTCAAGGTGTTTCACAACACTAGGCCACGCACACTACTCGACCAGTTTTGGGCTTGTGTGAGCTTGAAAAATCACCTAAGTTTAGTACTCTTGCTTCATGAATAAATACATACAAAAACATGAAGGTATTTTCGATTTAAAAAAGAACGCTCCACAAATGAATGCACAACTACAGGGTGTCACAAAAAAAAATTACACGGTCTTTTTTACCGCAAAAATAAACTAGGCATCGTCGAAGGCTCATTCTCTGCCCAAAGGTAGAGCTAGAGGTCACAACCAGATGCCAAAGTTTCAGCCCGATCCGATAACTTAATCAAAAGTTATAAATGATTTTCTGAAAATTTCAATGGGAAAATGGTGGCCGCCGGAGTTTTCGAACACATGGGGCTATATGGCACCAGAAACCGAAAACGGGCAAAAATGGGCTCCATTTCCCATTGAAATTTTCAGAAAATCAGTTATAACTTTTGATTAAGTAATCGGATCGGGCTGAAACTTTGGCATCTGGTTGTGACCTCTAGCTCTACCTTTGGGCGGAGAATGAGCGTTCGGCGATGCCTAGTTTATTTTTGCGGTAAAAAAGACCGTGTAAATTTTCATTTGTGACACCCTGTATTTGTGGTTGTGCACAATTGGTAATGCACAACTATTTACCCCGGCAAAAAATACCTAGCCACAAGACTATGAACGCATACGAGGCATCGGATATTCCGCAGAATAGAGCTACTCCGCATGTTCGGCATCAATTCCCCAGACCAGGAGACAAAAATTGCAGCGCAGAAGGCGATTATTGGAATGATCTGTGGGAAGTGTTCGACAAGACAGTGACGCCGCGGTGCGACTCCAAGCAGAACCATTTTGAGCGCAAATCGTGTCTATAAACTCCTGACGGACAGCAAGTATTGTATCAGTCGTTCCTAATCAATCTATGCTTCAACGAGGGTTGGGGGCCGCAGCCGGCACTAACTTCCCCTTAGACTAGAGATACGAATTGAAAAGATAGATCCCCCCCCCCCCCCCCCTCCCCACTTCCCCATGCGCTGGCGAGAAAATCCACGGCCATCTTATTTCCAGTATAACCGAGCTCGATCCGCCAGCGAGAAAAGCAGTCTGATAAAACGAGGAGTAAACAAGATACTTCTCACGGTGATTTTATCAATTGCTGACCGTGCTGTATGTCGTTCCCCATAGTATAGTTCCTCGACCGTCGTCGAACGCACAAGAATCGTCGGCACAAACACAGGAAAAACATGACCCTCCTGTTACCGTCAATGCCGGTTATACTGCGAGAACACGATTGAATCCGAGCTTCGAGCCAGTCCTGCATATAACATGAGAACACAAACGGCGGGAATGCTGAGCGCAGGTAGGTTTTCGAGTTTCAAGAGACGAAATCTTCACTCCGGCGTCAGATTGAGGAACGCGGTCGTGAGGTGACTCGGACGCGGCGGTGGCATTGGAATGTAAAGGAGCAGACAAGGAGCGGACGCCGCGTCTGCACGCAAAGTATGCTCCGAAATACCGAGGGAGAGGAGGAGACGAGAGAGCGCGGGGACATCAGAATGCCGAGCTCTGGTTCGAATGATTAGGCATTTGTCTCCGCTGCATTTGTCGAACGCGTTCGAATGCCAAAGTCAATCGCAGGACATCGGGGTTCCGCTTTCAAACGCGTTCGACGAGTGCAGTGGAGACAAAGGCAGTTAGCTTTACGTCTACCCTCTAATCATTCCAACCAAAGCTCGGCGTTCTGACGTCCCCTCTCGTCTCCTCTCCTCCCTCACTTTCTCGTTCGCATGGGCCTGTTCATAGGGTGACCACCCGTCCCGCGACTCGCGGGACTGTCCCGCATTGAGGGCTCATGTCCCGCGTCTCGCAAGAAATACCAAAATCTTCAAAATGTCCCGCATTTCATACTGTCGTAAAATTCCCTCTGTAACTCATGGTGCTCTCGAACAACAGGACGCGGGGAAGCGCGGAGGACGCTGGTAGTCGGGTGAATCACAATGGTATGCCATTTTCTATCTAAGCATTGCGGGAAGTGTCTGTCGTTCTTTCAGGAGATCCGATGCGCATGCTCCGTTGTGCCTCTCCACTTGGTAGCAAAATATTAAAAAAAAAAAAAAAAACGGTCGCAAAAAGTTGAAACAAAAATACTGTAATTATATTCGAATCGCTGTGTCATTAAATTAAGATCACTGTCATGGTCGATTCATGAAAGAAGAAGAAAAAGCTGAGAGCTGCGCGAGGGGGGAGAAGATAAAAAAAGAAAGAAGTGAGAAAGATCGTCGAACGGTCGTCGGAGTGCAGCCATCGCGACGAACTGCCGGGCCTGGGCGCTTGGGTGCCATGACCCAAACCAGAACCAGTCAGCGAGTTGCGGGCTGAAGCAAGGCCACAGGAAGGCTGCCGGAGTGCCGTCGGTGAGAGGACACCAAGAAACCCGACCCCGAGATCCCTTCGCCGTGGCCAAAGCATCCATCAGCGTGGTGCCGACCAGGTCCGGGTTAGCCCAGCTATCGCCATTGGGAAATTCGGCGTCCGGAATCCAGGCTCCCGTTACCATCATTGAGAACTTGGTAACCACGATCCAGAACCCGGCAACTACATCCGCAACCCCTTGAGCATCTTCCGCCCACGGAAAAGACCGGAACTCAAGTGAATATTGCTTTGTGTACATATCCCTCGATTCGGTTTATCTTCATGTTCTTTTTTTATTAGACACCCTTTTTCATTTTCTTCTCAATACAAATTGCCTGGATTCAATTGGGTCTCGTATTCTTTTTCTTTACATAAATGATTATTTGAACGAGCCTTGCGTACCTCGTGACAAATATTGGCGTCCGCGACAGGACGAGACCTATTGAACTTGGGCAGCTTGTGTCTTACAAGTATTTCGTGAACTGGTCAGACGTCAGTAGAAAATGGATTACAGAGAGATGCTTGACGTCGGAAAACAACTGGGGTTGCAGGGAGAGGGCTTGAGGAAATGGGTTGAAGAACAGCAAGCCCGAGAACGAAAAGAAAAGGACCTGGAGAGAGAGGAAAGAGCTGTCGAAAGAGTTGCCTTGAGAGAAAGGGCGGAGATTGAGGAACGAACACTTCAGCTTCGCATAAGATTAGCCGAGAGCGGAGCGTCTGCAACCGCGGTAACCGATTCGAATGGAAACGGTGGCGAGAGAGTTAGCTCGAGTAGTCTTTGCCCTCGCAAGCTGATTCCCCCATTTGATGACCGGAGGGACGATCTCGATGCGTACCTTAAAAGATTCGAGTGCATTGCCCGCGGGGAGGAGTGGCCACTACCTAAATGGGCAACAGCACTGAGTATGTGTCTTACTGGGGAAGCACTCAAGGTGTATGGGAGACTATCGCCCCAGGATTCTATGAACTATGAAGCGACTAAGAAAGCGCTTCTCGAGAGGTTTAGATTCACAACGGAGGGTTACCGGGAAAAGTTCCGAAAATCTAAGCCCGAGGAGGGAGAGACAGCTAGACAGTACGCAGCTCGGCTGCAGGGGTATTTCGACCGGTGGGTGGAGGTCGGCGAGACTCCTGCTACCTATGAAGCCCTTCGGGATAGGGTGCTGGAAGAGCAATTTATTTCGCAATGTCACGCGAGGGTAGCCACCTTCCTGAAGGAAAGGAATTGTCAGACGCTTGCGTCGATGGTGGAGACTGCGGATCGCTTTCTTGAAGCGCAGAAATTGAGAAGCCTTTCCTTTCTTGAGGATGACACGAAGACGAGCGCATTTTCACCAAGTAGAAATCACGGAGATCAGCCACCGCCTATGAGGCCAAAGTGTTTTTTGTGTGGGCGCGTAGGTCATAAGGCTCCACAGTGTCGAAGTGGATTCAGGCATAAAATTCCGTTTTGTACAACATGCCAACGAGAGGGACATGAAACAAAAAGCTGTCCTCGAAAACGGCAAGATAAGCCGAGCGTCATGTGCTTTGTAGAACCCCCTCCAAACGCCCGGAGGAGGAAAAGAATCTTCAAAAGAGAGGGAAGATGCGGTTCCGCACGCTGGTGAAATAGCAGCGGCGAATAGAGTGAAAGCAACGAAGGCGACTCCAACTACTAGCAAAGAAACTAGAATTGACATCGACTCTACAGAACTCAAAAGGCGGCAGAAAGAAGATGACACCTTGGAGGCGTGCCGAACCAAAGTTGGGCAAGTGCAAAGCACGAAGGACGGTTCTAAAATCAGCTTTTATTTCTCTAAGGGAGTTTTATGCCGTCGCTATGAACAGAAGGGTGGAAAGAGTTTCAAACAAGTGGTGGTACCAAAGACACTGCGAACCTACGTCCTCGAGATAGCACACGACAGTGCGTTGGCCGGACATCAGGGCATAAAACGAACTACTGACCGAGTGTTAGAAGCGTTTTACTGGCCAGGGATACAGGCCGATGTTAAGAGATTTGTGAAGTCATGTGATGCGTGCCAAAGGGCTGCACCGAAAAGAAGACTAAAGAAAGCGCCACTGGGCCGAATGCCCATTATTGACACCCCTTCCGAGAGGGTGGCCATAGACCTTATAGGTCCCCTCTCATCTACCTCAGAAAATGGAAATCGCTACATCCTGACGATGGTAGATTTCGCCACTAGGTACCCTGATGCCGTAGCGCTACCATCGTGCGATTCTCGCACTGTCGCAGAAGGATTATTAGAGATTTTTTCTCGAGTACGGCTGCCGAGGCAGATCTTGTCTGATCGAGGTGCTACCTTCACATCTGGACTGATGCAGGAGCTGACACAGTTATTGTCTATCCAGAAATTGCATACTACACCTTATCATCCTATGTGCAACGGATTAGTAGAAAGATATAATGGCACCCTGCGACAAATGCTCTCCAAGATGTGCCAGGAGAAGCCACGATCTTGGGATCGATACTTAGCGCCACTCCTATTCGCATACCGCGAAGTGCCGCAGGCCAGTCTGGGGTTTTCTCCGTTTGATTTAATCTACGGACGTCATGTTCGGGGACCGTTGACCCTGCTGAAGGAGATTTGGACGAGAGACGAGTTGGGAACTAATCTTAAGACGACTTACCATTACGTGTTTGACCTGCGCAGTCGACTTGAGCGAACGCTAGAGCTTGCCCACCAAAGCTTATCCTCGGCAAGAAAGGACCAGAAGAAGTTGTATGACAGAAGGACTGCAAGGAGGGCTCTGAAGGTAGGAGATCGCGTCCTACTCCTGATCCCGACGAAAAAGAACAAGCTTCTAATGCATTGGAAAGGCCCTTTCATCGTCGTGGGTAAAAGGAACGAGGTTGACTACGAGGTAGACCTTGGGCATACCACTAGAACATTCCACATAAATATGCTAAAGCGGTACGAGGAACGTGAGACGACAAGTCAGACAAAGGAGCAAGTGTCCTCAATTATAGCTGTAGAGAATACGTCGGCTGATCAGCAGCTTCCGTGTCTTGACCTGAGAAGTAAGCAGGGAGTAAGTGAAGTCGCGCTAGCCGACGATCTTAGCCAGAAGCAAAGGAGCGACGTTATGGACATCCTAGCGAAATATTCAAAAATATTTACGGATGTGCCGGGCCAAACCGATATCTTGGAATGTAAGCTGCAGCTGACCGCGCAGGAACCGGTGCATACACCACAGTACCCGATTCCTTTCGCGATGGAGCGCGTGATCGAAGAGGAGGTAGGCGAGATGCTGAAGCTGGGCGTAATAGAAAAGTCAACATCTCCATACTGTTCACCATTGGTGCTTGTTAAGAAGCAGGACAAAACCTACCGTGTCTGTATCGACTTTCGTCGACTTAACGACATCCTGGTCTCAGATGCCGAACCGATTCCTAGGGTCGATGTTGTCTTTTCAGAAATAGGAAAAAAGACCTATTTCTCGAAATTGGATCTTTCAAAAGGGTATTGGCAAATCCCGCTATCAGAAGACTCAAAAGAGAAGACTGCCTTCTACACCTCTTCGGGCTTATACCAATTTAGGTACATGCCTTTTGGTATAAAAACTGCGTCAGCAATCTTCACACGGTTAATGAGAGAGGTGCTGCGCGGAATAGATGGTGTGCAACACTACATCGATGATGTCCTGATTGCTTCCAGCACCTGGGAAGAACACGCCTCCGTGCTTGAGCTAGTTTTGCGACGAATAGAACGTGCTGGGTTGACCATAAAGCCTAGCAAATGTGAGATCGGGATGAGGTACGTCACATTTCTTGGACATCGAGTAGGGGACGGTGAGCTTGCGCCAGTACCAGAAACCGTAGAAAAAATTGTGGGATCCAGGCGACCCACAACCAAGAAACAAGTTAGGTCATTTTTGGGGCTGGCCGGTTACTACCGTCAGTTCATTCCCAATTACGCACAGAAGGCTCTGCCTCTCGTCGAGTTG